ACCTGCAAATGCCTTTGGCTTTATTTTCTACAAGCCTAGGTTTGTGCGGGCTTCTGGGCATAGAGACAGTGTCTTGGCCAGAAGAAAGGGGAACACAGGGAAACTTCTTTCCCCAGAAAAGAAAAGGGCCCCTGGCTTTAATGTGCATGTAAAAGGGGTTGAGCTGGGGGAGAGGCCTGAGAGAGGGAATCAGTGAGACTGCCCCTGGCAGAGTGCCAGGCAGCCAGCATGTTTCCAGAGAGGAAATAGCCCTGCAGAAATTTCCTGTCCCCTACATGAAGTCCAGGAAGTGTCGGAGGGCTGCTCACCCAGAGGGCCCTTGTGGGATGGAGGGTGTGCCCCACATCGGTATTAACCAGCAGCCATGTGTGTGCCCCCCCCCCCACAGACCCTCTCCATCCCAGCTGGGGCTGGCACTGCGTAAACCTCCCTCAAGCTGCTGGGCGGCCCCCCCACGGGCACCAAGAAGGACTGAGATAGAGAGTTCCACTGTCCTGGTGAAATGAGCACCCGGATCCGGAACTTAGGGAAGTGAAATGACAGGATAAAGGTGTATTTCTGTCCCTGCTGAGCTGATGGACTGCAGCAAATACCTGACATGTAAAAGGAGAGAACTGAGGCTCACGGAGGGTGTGTGGATAGGCCAAAGCCACCTCGTTAGCATGCAGAGGAGGCAGTGCCAGGCCTGCAACCAAGTTTGTGAGACTCCAAGTCCAGCCCTGCCTACCTTAAAAATGAGGAGCCCAGGACAGGCGAGGTGGCTCAGGTCTGTAATCCCAGCACTTTGGGAGGCCAAAGCAGGAGGCTTACCTGAGGTCAGGAGTTCGAGACCAAGACCAGCCTGGCCAACATGGTGAAACTCCGTCTCTACCAAAAATACAAAAATTAGCCAGGTGTAATGGCAGGCACCTGTAATCCCAGCTACTTGGGAGGCTAAGACAGGAGAATCACTTGAACCCGGGAGGTGGAGTGAGCCAAGATTGCACCATTGCTCTCCAGGCTAGGCGATGAGAGTGAGACTCTGCCTCAAAAAAAAAAAAAAAAAAAAAAAATGAGGAGCCCTAATGTCCACCAAAAGAGCCTGCTCAAATACACAAATAGTGGGGGCTGGGGGCAGAGAAAGAGAGAAGAGAGAATGTACCGTAAGTGCCAATATGATCATCTTCAAAGTATACGTGTACCACTAAGTGAAAATAAAAGTGCATAGCTGCTTATTTGTTACTTGTATGTGCATTAAATAGATGCGTGAGGACATAAGAAATGGGCACACAGTCTTCCGAGGGAAACTGAGTGATGAGGAGACAGGCAAAGGAAAAGACTTTTTCCCTGTGCAATCTCTTATACCTCTTAGATTTTCAATCAAGAGAATGTATTACCTACTCAAAAAATAATTACCTTTTTTAAAGAAACAGAGTGACACAGAATCGCCTTGTTCAACCCTCTTAAATTCAATGAAACAGACCCCTACTGAGCACCCAGGGTGTGCCAAGCCGTTGGTGGGCGCTGTGGGTTATACCATGATGAACAGCATGCTGTCTCCGCCTGCCAGGGGACCACTCACCCCAGGCAACCCAGGCCCCCCAGGCTGGAGGGTGGGATGGGCTGCCACAGGACTACCACAGCTTCTCCCCTGTCACACATTTGCCCAGACCCCAGCCACCCTGGGCTGGGAGCCTCAACCAGGGTGAGGGTCTGTGCAGGGCCAGCCTCTGTGGGTGCCAGTGACCACTGGGCAGTTTGAGCCAAACTCTTGAGACCCACACTGCTCCTTCCCGGCAGTCTCAGGACTGGCCATGGGGGAGGTGGGAAGCCTGAGTACCACCCTCCTGTGCTTCTATGGAAAGAGTATTACACAATCCTGTCCTTTCTTCTCTTGCTTTAAGCACTCACTGCTTGTAACCAAGGCAGCAAGGCAGCAATAACTGTGAAGGTCAAAGAAATGGCCAGCCCCCAGACGGATTTCAGTCTGGATGGGAAATGTGAGCAGGTCCTGACTCTGCAAATGCAGCTGCAACCCACCACCCTGGAGACCCCTCCGTCTACTGCCTGGCCTTCCCTGCATTCTGCCTCCTAACCGTGCTGCCCCTAGCCCTCTCGCGGCACCAGACAGCAGCAGCAGCAGCACCGGGCATACCTGGACTTCTCACTACAAGCCCCAGCATTCCCATCCTGTGCCTGTGACCGTCCTCTAGTCACACCAGCAGGACAGAAATACCTCCCCTGGGTTGAAGCCACACCACTGGTGTCCCTGAGACTTTAGAGTAGAGGACGCTCTTCCTGGAGGATCCCCGTAGCCCCAGGGTGCATGAATCCAGTGAATCACAAAATACTCCCTGCCATTGCTTCTAATGATTCTCGTGTTGTACTGGGTGTACCCTGGGAGGGAGATGGGGCAGGGTTATTACCTTCCAAGTACAGATGAGAAAACCAAGGCTCAGGTTCTGAGACCTGCTCACCAGGTAGCCAGAGAACAGCAGAGTTGACATCTTCATCCGGGTTTCCTGACCCCAAACCTTATACTCTCCCTTCACAGTATTGTTGGAAGACAACTGAGAGGTCATTTGGTACAACCTCACGTTTTACAAATGGTAAACTGAGGTCAGAGAGGGAGAGGGACATCTTCAAGGTCACATAGCATGCAGCAGGGCAAAGCCAGTCCCAAGAACCTGGCCTTCTGTCTCCCAGGATGGCGGCTGTGTTGAACTGGAAAGTGCTTGTCCAATCTAAAGGCGTTCAAATCCATTTTTTTTTAAACCAATGCCTCAAAATATACCAGTAGGGTTTGTGGGAGTGGGGAACACAGAAGAAACAAGATTGGCCATGAGTCAGTAGAAGCTAGATATTAGGTAATGGGGATATGAATACTATCCTGTGTAAATATGTATATGTTTTTAACATTTCCACAAAACTTCAAAAATATTAATGTGCTATCAAAAAAAATATTAGGTACTCAAGTCATATTAGATCCACAGGGCACTGTTTAGCAAACTCTAGACACTCCTGAATATGCTGCTGGCCATGTCTATGCTTCCTGCCAGTTCTCTCTGCATAGCGTGGGATGAGGGAGCTGGGAGAGGGCCGAAGGGAGATAACTGGTTGGGCAGGGCTTGGAAGTGGGCCATCCATTCCTGAGAGCATAGACTCGGGACCTGGATCTCGTACAAACGGATACAGGTGACACCCCACCCCTGCCCACACTCCACACTCCTCACGATCTGTCCATCCCCCCTGCACTCTGCCCATCCTCCCTGCACCTCACTGTACTTTGCTCCCCTCATTATTTTTTGAGACAGGGTCTCACTCTGTGACCCGGGCTGGACTACAATGGCGTAATCGCAGCTCATTGAAGCCTTGGTCTCCTGGCCTCAAGTGATCCTCCCACCTCAGTCTCCTAAGTAGGGGGGATCACAGGTGCATGCCACCACGCCCAGCTAATTTTTAAATTATTTGTACAGATGGGGCCCTATGTGGTACACGCTGGTCTCGAACTCCTGGGCTCAACTGATCTTCTGCCCTGGCCTCCCATAGTGCTGGGGTTACAGACATGAGTCTCCGTGCCCAGTCTCTTTTGCACTCTGTCATCTACCACCCACCATACCAAGGGAAACAAGCGAATCTGGGGTCTGATGTTCCTGGCCTGCAGAATAGGCCATATCCCATCTGGATGAGAAATGAAGTTCCTGAGCAGCCTGGCACAGCCACGGTTAACGTGAACCTGGAGAGGAGCCGTGCTGTCTTCCAGCAAGACCTCACCAACAGGGTGTGAAGCCATGAGATTTGGAGATTTGGAGTGGAAGGGGGTCGGAGAAAGGTGTGGCTTTTATTTTTCCTTCTTTTCTTTCTTTCCTTCTTTTTTTCTTTTTTTTTTTTTTGAGACGAAGTCTCACTCTGTCGCCCAGGCTGGAGTGCAGTGGTATGATCTCAGCTCACTGCAACCTCTGCATCCCGGGTTCAAGTGATTCTCCTGCCTCAGTCTCCCGAGTAGCTGGGATTACAGGCACCCACCACCATGCCCAGCTAATTTTTTGGCATTTTTGGTAGAGACGGGTTTCACCATGTTGGCCAGGCTGGTCTTGAACTCCTGACTTCACGTGATCCACCTGCCTCTGCCTCCCAAAGTACTGGGATTAAGGTGTGAGCCACCACATCCGGCCATGGCAGGAAGTTCTGAGGGACATCTACTTATCTGCAAGTGTGTTGTGCTTTCTTAACTGAGGAGCACTGTTAAAGGATTGTTATTAGAGGTACCAGTGTTACTTGAATGGGTCTTTTGGGATGCTGATGTGCACAGGAGAGATTTGGATTTCCCATCACTTTGTGTGATGACCGTACAGCCCCCAAATCTCACCCAAGTGTGCTATGGAGAAGCTGAAAGAAGCCACTACATTGTCTGCGTGAGCCAGACCTTCAGGTCTTACATTAAATCTTAATTCTGCCTTAACTTTGCTGTGTAACTCAGGCCAGACTTCTCCTTCTCTGGTTCTCAGAACAGCTCTCTAGCAGCCAAACTGAAGTTATCGCCCATGCCAGCAACCTTAGCAACCTCCTGGAGAAGATAACTTAGCGAAAGACTGTCACTGCTCAGAGGAAGCGTCCCAAACCCCTGACTGGTTTAGGAATTTAACACCACAGGAGCAACAGCCCCAGAAGGGAAGGCAATTGTTCGGAATTATACAGGCTAGTGCGGGACCCCGCCATCCGCTCTTGGCTTACACAGAGGTTGCTTTCATGCCCTTTCCCTCTGTTAATTTGGCTTGTTTTCCAAACATGGGTCAAACAACCCCTCTCCAGAAGCAGCAGCAGCAGAAGGAAATGTTATTAAAAATGAGTCTGTTAGTGGGCATGGTGTGTGGATGAAGTCTTTGGGAGTTTTGGCTGCCAAATAAAGACTTTATTGTCATTCCTCCTTTCCCAAGCTCCCTCCCTCTCTCCTCTCCTCCCTCCCTCACTCCTCCCTCCTCTCTTCCCCTCCCTCCCTATGATCTGCCCCTCCCTCCCCCTAAGCTAACCTCCCCACCCCAAAAGGATCTGGTGGAAGAAAAGTCAGGCAAACACAAGCAAGCACGCACGCACCACTGGGAGATCAGAACTTCTAGCTGGCTCTCTGCTGCCACAGCTCCGCCGAAGGGAGGGGGTGGAAGACGAGGACTAAACTCACAGCTGAGAGGAGAGGAAGGTGTGTGCAGGTAAGCCCAAGGGAGATGGGCAACAGACTGGGAAGAGTCCTTCACCCAGTAAGTTTCCTCCTGATCTGTCCAACTTTTATTGACCTAGTCTCTATTCTCATTCCTTCCTTCCCCCCACCTTTTTCTCCTCTCAAATGAGTTCAAATTGAGTCATCCTGATTTCTTTCCTATAGCTTCTTCTTCTTTTCCTCACTCTATGCCCCGATATTTGCTTGCTGCAAAAGTTAAGCTTTCCTGCTACAGATGTTTGTTGTAGCACAGACAGCCACGCTGCAAACAATGATTCTGCATATCAGATGTTTCCATAGAAACTGGACTCCAGAGCCCATTTCTTTGCACCTTTTCTGGATTGTCGCATATTGTCGAAGTCACACACATCACACGCAGGCTGCACTTTGACTACCACCACCCCACACGGGCACAAATGAAAACATCCTGTCCCTTCACCTCTACCCTCTGCATCTGACATACAGAGCCAGATATCGTCACCAGACATCGGCACACACGCACACACGTTCCCTGCAGCTCGTCTCTTGCCCTCTCACATGCCTCCCCAACCATCGGAGCAAAGATAAAGCATGTCTTCCAGCCGAGATGGCAAAGCCAGAAGAAAATCTTGCATCCCAAGTTCAGGCCGAATAGAGAGGTGATAAGCAAGAGCAGAAGCTGGAAGGGTTTCTCCATTATTCAGGGCTTGATTGCGTCGGAGGGAGAGGAAAGTGGCTTTCCAACCTGCACAGTGTCTCCTCAGCAGCTTTGAATTTCTGTCTCACTGGTCCAAACCACTTGGCTTTGGGAAAGAAAGAAAAGTAAGCAACCCAGTTTCCAATCCTTGAAGGTCCTAATTCCCAGCTCTGGGGGCAGTTCATTTTTTTTTTTCTTGCAGACAGCCAGAAAAATATTTTTCTTTAAAGCCTTTCTGAAATAATTCCAACCATTCAGGTTGGCACAAGGTCCTATGGCAGAGGAGAAAAAAAAAGACAGCGGTTTCTTTAGCAGTTGGGGAGGGGCAACTGAAGGGTGGTCCCTCTCCTGCTTCCCCACTCATTCCATTCCATTCCATTCATAGAGAGGGTCTGTCCCAAGGCAGGCAGGGTGTAGGGAGATCAGGGGTCTCACACACACAGCTGACCTTTACAGTCACCTGAGGGCAGGAGAGGGAGGAGTGTGGAGGGCTTACCGAAAATACAGATGTTGGCTCACTACAGATCTACGGGAATCAAGACCCAGGAATCTTCGGGAGATTCTGATGGTCCACCAGGGCTTGAGAACATGAATCAGGGGCCTCAGAGAGAGCTTTGCTGTAATTCATGAGGCCAAGATTGGCAGTGTTAGCTGGGTAGAAGGTCTATGTCCTGGAAAAGGAGCTCCAGAGTGTTCCAAAGAGGCCATCCCTTTTGGGGAGTGGGAGTAATGGGAGTAAACAGGGAAGATCTCCTCTGAGCTGCCTCCCTCTCTCCTTTGCAAGCACAGGCAGCCACATTTACCACAGAGGAATATTCCAGTAAGAAAGTTCCCCCAAGATGGCTCCACAGAGCGGATGTTTCCTCTTACCTGCTAATCTGCCTGCCCCAGGACCCCAGGAGAATGTGCTGGGCCCTTCCCCTAACCCTTCCAGGTCCCTGCTTCTCCTGCCCAGCAGCTGCCTGTCTGGACTCTCACAGAGGGTGGGCTGAACTCGTTACTCCCTCTCCATCTCCCTAGCAGGCAACCCCATTTATTGGGCATGTGAGTGAAGCAGTTCAAGGCTGGAAAGGGCAAAAAGCTGAGTGCGCAAGGCTTGGAGAAGTCACGAATCACAGTGGAGCTCCACGGCCCGCTGAGGAAGGCAGGCTTGCGCCTTCAGCCAGTGTCCCCTCACCTGTTGCAGAAAGCATGGGTGAGAAGCTGGTGAATTACGAAGACAGAACAAGCTTTCCCTAGGTGGCTGGGGACTTCCAGGGTCTCCTCAATTTGTTGTTTCTGAGACCCAAGTGTGATCTCACAAGCCACAAAGGGGAGGCAGTTGCTCTGTGTAGAAGAGCCAGCACCCCCAAGGATCCCTGCCTTTGAGCAGCCCCTGGGTCTGCCCTCTAGCCAGGCTGGAAGGAAAGAGACCCCATTACTTTGAAATAATATCAACAAAACCTTAACATTCATAGAACACTCACTTTGCATGTATTGACTCATTTAACCCTCAAAACAAAAAGAAGGTGTTAGCATGCCCATTTTATAGATGAGAAAAGCAATTCCTTTGCCTACGTCTATCCAGCTAAGCATCTGAAGAACCGCAGGCTTGGGTGTCAGATCTATAACCACTCAAGGCATCAGACACACTCTCCTAGGCTTTCTTCAAGGGTTGGAGATGCTGGGGGAGCGGGGCAGAGAAGAATATGGTAGGCGGCAGGCTGTCAGAGAAGTGCCGTCTCACCCTGGTTTCTCCTCCATCCCTCAGAATGGAAAATTTGCTCTTCTAGACTAGTGGCCTGAGGCCAGAAAATCTTCATTCTGTTTACACTTTGCCTTGTGGTAGACACTGGGGAGACAGATGGTCTCTCCATAATAGTGTTATTTTTCTTTTTAGCACTTTTTGATCTGTAGTGCATTTTAAAGTTGCTAACCACACTTGTTTCTGACACTGGGTAAGGAATATAGGTACAGGGAAGATTTTGTTATTCCCATTTTACAGATAAGAAAACTGAGGCCCACAACAGGGTTGCATCACTAGGTAGTGGTGGAGGGGCAAGAATCTAGCGCACCACAAGCTCTCCTCCCACTGTCTGAGGAAGGCTCACCCTTGCATCATTTCACCTTTCCGGAGAGGGGCAGCTGGAAGTCATCATGCCCCATACTGCCCCTTTGTTATCTCAGGACCATGTCAGCCCTAATGGGGGCCTTGAAAGGGCCTTAGACTCACTCCTCTGCTAACTCTGCTCATAAACTGGTGAAGACTATTTGATTCCCCCAGCTTCCAACTCCCTTCTGGACCACAGGAAGAGATAAAGACAGCAGGATAGCTTTTGGATATCTAGGTTGAGAATAGAAAGAAGGGAAGAAAGGGAGAGGGGTGTTCCAATGTTCACAGGCACAGCTCTGGGTCTGCTCCAGTGCTCACAGGCACCCATTCTGCACAGCAGGGTAGCTCTGGGTCAAGGCATGGAGGCTTAGGGCTGACCAATTAGACAGAAGATCTGACACGTAAGAGGAATGCCCAAACCAAGTGTGGAGAACCCTGCTGCTAACCCCGCCTAGCCCTGGAAGACAAACCCAATCTCATTCCCAGCCTAACCTCAACCTCTCCACACAAAACCAATTAGCTTTAAATAACAGCTGCTCCAAACGACTTGACAAGCACATCAGGACCTCCACCCATCCCTGCCCTGAGCATAAATATTCCACCAGTCCTGGACTTTTACATTAAATTAATTAGATAGATAGGGAAGGGGACTATCTCACTTTCAAAATCAGGGAGTCTCTGTAGGGCGCTGCGGCTCACACCTGTAATCCCAGCACTTTGGGAGGCTAAGGCAGGCCAATCGCTTGAGCTCAGGGGTAAAACCAGCTTGGGCAACATGGTAAAACCCCATCTCTACAGAAAAGACAAAAATTAGCCAGGCATGGTAGTGCACGCCTGCAGTTCCAGTTACTCAGGATGCTGAGATGGGAGGATCACCTGAGCCCAGGGTGGCTGAGGCTGCAGTGAGCTGTGATGGTACTACTGCACTCCAGCCTGGGGAACAAAGAGAGATCCTGTCTTAAAAAAAAAAAAAATCAAGGAGTCTCGAATCTGCTCTTTCATAAACAAATAAATGAATAAGTAAGCCTCTGCCACTTGCAGAGATTGTGCACTTTATAACATGCCTTCAAATGCACGATCTGGTTTAATCCTCACACAGATGAGGAGCCTGGGGTGGAGAGTCAGTGCCAGGAGCCAAGCCCAGATCCACAATAGTTGGAACTGAAAATTGAATTTAAAACTCTCTAAGGGGCCGGGTGCGGTGGCTCACTCCTGTAATCCCAGCACTTTGAAAGGCCGAGGTGAGAAGATCACTTGAGCTTAGGAGTTTAAAACCAGCCTGGGCAATATAACGAGACCCCCATCTCATTTTTGTTTAAAGTGAAAAAAGAAAAAAAAAATTAAGATTATCTTAGGAAACATTCTTAAATGTGGAGAGTGAATGTTGGGTTGGGCAAAGCAATGGCTTTTCTCTTCCATGAAGCAGCAGCTTTTCCAGAACGTACGGTGGAGAACAGACCTGCATGCAATTGGCTGTTATAGGTGGTCAATAAGCCTTCACTGACTGAGTAATGAGCAGAGCTCAGTAGAAAGCTGTGGGTGGAGAGGTGCATTTGCAAAAGCCTAAAAAAATTTTAAAAACACATACATGGACCCATCCTAAGGAATCGTCTGATTGGACAGAAGTTTCTAGAAGGCAGGAACATAGAGTGTGGCTCTGAGGCTTTGTAGGAGGGACTATGACCACCCATGGAGTCCAGATACCCTCAGTCTGTTACACAGATTCTGATTTCAGAGACCTAGGACATTACGGAGCACTGCCAGAGAGAATGGCCATGCTGTCAGCTGTCATGACTTCTCATCCCGCCTCCCGGCAAAGCTCCAGCAGGAAGGGGCGTCACCCCATGAGAAAAGCCTTAGCAATGAACGCTATTTCCTTGAGAAGCAGCCCTGCACACAGAATGGCTCTGATTCAGCCCTGGGGTTGAGAGGAGGGGAGCAGGTTCAGTTTCCCCACATAACTTGCTCCCGGGAGCATTTCCTGGGGAACCTCCTGTTGGCTCTGGGAGGAAGCTGGCTAGGCCCAGAGGTTTGGAATGTAAAAGGGTCAGAGGGCTAGGGAAAAGATAAGTTCCCTAAGGGTCTGGTGCTGCACGTGGGGTTGAGGAAGGCCTGTGTTTACTGTGGATGACAAGGTGGGGCGGCCAGCCTGCCGGGTGGAGCTGTGAGTGGCCTGCCTGCTCCTCTCACCCCTGATAATGAAGACCAGGGCTGCCCTGGCACTGAGCCAAGGAAACCCACTCCCAGCACAGGCCACAGCCACGGTGCCTCACTGCTTTTGCTGGAAGCCCTGGGCAAATTGGTGCCTAGTCCCTGGCATATGCTTTCAGTGACAAAGGCAATGAAGCGATGTAGAAACCCCCTACCCCATGCCCCCCACCAGTGCTGGGAGCCTCCTTGAGACAGGGGGTCTCACAGTATGAAACATTCCTTGCTCATTTCTAGGCTTCTGGGTGATTAGAAAATAAAGAATTTTTTTTTTAAATCAGGGTCACCAAACTTGAGGCTTTTAGACATGTTTGTTTTAGAATACTGATGCTTTAACCACCCCTTAATTTATATACAAAATGACTGTTCTGTTTTCCAGAAAACTACAGGACAGAATGTTAATTCATAGTTCACCAATTACAAGTGATGTGGGGTTCAGCCAACAAGACTCAAGCTTAAAGTTTTGCAATTAATGCCTTCTCTTTTTAATCCTTGCAATGTATCTCTGAGAATGTTATATCCTTAGCAGGAGACCAAGCCAAAAACCTCACTCCAAGATCCTTTGTGATAGGAGGCCAGGGGAAATGGCCTTCCAGACCCCCTTGGAGAGGCCTGCCTTGAAAGAGGCTACCTTAGAGGAAGGTGGAGAAGCAACACAGGCTGGAAGACGGTCTCTGCCCTCCTGCCCTCCTGCCTTCCTTCTTCCCTTCCAATATTGAGTATACTGCATAAGCATTCATGTGCACACACAGGATAAATGAGAGTTTGCTTATGTGCATGGGACCTGAAGAGGTGTGTTTGAGACTGTGCAGACGGGGGGGTCAAGGGTGTGTGTGTGTGTGTGTGTGTGTGTGTGTGTGTGTGTGTGTATGTGCGCGCGCGTGCGTCTGTACGCATAAGCTACAGTGAGACACCCTCTACCCACCCATGGCTAAGCCCTTCTCTTTCCCATTTCTTGTCACATTCAGCTTTTTCTGAGCATCTGACCTAGAATCCAGCAGCTGGTGAGTGGCTTCTGTTGCCTTCCTTTGATCAAAGCCAGCGAGGAGCCAGGCGCTGGGTCAAGGAAGAAAAGTGTCCAAGCTGACATGGGTTCAAAGGGAAGGCGGGAGAGGCAGGGTGTGTGAATCAACACAGGGATCACAGGGTCCAGACGCAAGCTGGGGACATTCTCCAGCCCAGCCTATCTCAGAGAAGCCTGCATCCCCAGTGTGGCCAGACCTCGAGGCAGTGGAAAGGACACCCCAATTCTGAGGAAGAGGTGAGGAGGGCCAGTTGAAGCAATGTGGGAACAGGGATCATGGCTGGAGGTATCAGGAATAATAGCCTTGGAGAGGAGAAGGTACAGGGCATCCCCTCCCAGCCTAGTCCAGGGGAGGATACCTGTGGGGGCTGTGGCTTTTTGTCTGCAGCCATGGGTCTGTTATTTCCCCACAGTTTCAATTCAGCTCAAACCACACGGCCCTATCGGGAGGGTCACTGGGCCAATAGGAAGGAGGGCAACACCAAATCATCCTTCAGCTCCATATTTCAATGTTACCGGGGCTAGCAGGAGGTTCTTCTTGATATCCCACCTCAATACTACCAGCTCCAAAGGATATAGGAGCAGTAATACCAGACCAAAAGAAAGGAAAGTGTTTTCTCCACATCTTTCAATCCCTCCATTGTTTATTTCCTGGGAGCCTCCACATCTGGGGAGAAATTCTTGGCATATCTCCCAATGGCAAAGACCAGTGTTCTCTGAGCTAAGTGCGGGCAGTGGGGAGAGGGGTGAGGAGGCCAGAGCATCTGTGAGCCAGGGTAGATGCAAAGGTGTCGGCAGCACCTCCCTCTCTTCCCAAGATCCACACTAGCTCTCCTCTGGAAGGGAGGGGACCTTGGTTTTTGTCCTGGGTCTGCTGTTAAATAGCATACTGGCCTTGGAGAGTCACTTCTTCCCTCCAGTCCTCAGTTTTTGTAAACAGTGGGGTCTGGAGTTGATTGGTGGATTTCAAACCGTTTTTATCGAAGAAACATGTTCCCCCCACCCCAAATGAATGCTTTGGCTAAAACTCAATATATATATAATAGGTATTTTTAAAGAGAGCTGCTCAGGTTGGCATGGGGATGGGTTGAGGGCACCCCAGGGACACCTCCTCAGTCTCCTCCCTACAGGGGTGCTCCACAGAAATGAAGGCAGAGTTTGAAAACCACTGTGTTATGGGATCTTTAAGGACCTTTCTGGATTCAGCACCCAAGACTATATATGCTTTATATATCCTAACATCTCTCTCGAAGACACCGTTGATTTTCTCATGCTATGAATGGGAGGACTGAGGGCCAGAGGAGTTAAGGATCTTCTCTGACAAGCCCCAGGACTCCTGACTCAGAGTCCAGTGTGCTTTCTTTTTTTTTAGACAGTTTTGCTCTTGTTGCCCAGGCTGGAGTGCAATCTCGGCTCACTGCAATCTCTGTCTCCCTGGTTCAAACTATTTTCCTGCCTCAGCCTCCCAAGTAGCTGGAATTACAGGTTCATAGCACCACACCCAGCTAATTTTTTTGTATTTGGTACAAACAGGGTTTCACCATATTGGTCAGGCTGGTCTCGAACTACTGACCCCAGGTAATCCACCCACTCCGGCCTCCCCAAGTGCTGAGATTACAGGTGTGCACCACCGTGCCTGGCCCCATATTCTTTCTATTAGCATGGCACCCCCTGTTTAGAGCAGGCTCAACATGGCAAGTGGCTAAGCCAATGGGCAGGGGATCCATTGTCCCAAGCTCTTGTTACTCCCTCACCTGCTGGGGACAGGCAAACAAGGAGATGCTTCTACAGCTCCCTGAGCTCTGCCCATCTTCCCTGGAGCTCTAGTTCTACACAACTGTGGCTTCGAAAACATGACATCTAGTGACTAAGGGCCCAAGGCTAATGACCTCCTGTGTCTCTTCCCTGCAGGTACATCACCTGGATCATGAGGTCACCCCTCTGCTGGCTCCTCCCACTTCTCATCTTGGCCTCGGTGGCCCAAGGCCAGCCAACAAGACGACCAAGACCCGGGGCTGGGCCCGGGCGCAGACCCAGACCAAGGCCCCGGCCCACACCCAGCTTTCCTCAGCCTTATGAACCAGCAGAGCCAACAGACCTGCCTCCTCCCCTCCCTCCAGGCCCTCCATCCATCTTCCCTGACTGTCCCCGCGAATGCTACTGCCCCCCTGATTTCCCATCTGCCCTCTACTGTGATAGCCGCAACCTGCGCAAAGTCCCTATCATCCCGCCCCGCATCCATTACCTCTATCTCCAGAACAACTTCATCACTGAGCTCCCGGTGGAGTCCTTCCAGAATGCCACAGGCCTGCGATGGATTAACCTGGACAACAACCGGATCCGCAAGATAGATCAGAGGGTGCTGGAGAAACTGCCCGGCCTAGTGTTCCTCTACATGGAGAAGAACCAGCTGGAAGAGGTCCCCTCAGCCCTGCCCCGGAACCTGGAGCAGCTGCGGCTGAGCCAGAACCACATCTCCAGAATCCCACCTGGCGTCTTCAGCAAGCTGGAGAACCTGCTACTCCTAGATCTCCAGCACAACAGGCTGAGTGACGGCGTCTTCAAGCCCGACACCTTCCAGGGCCTCAAGAACCTCATGCAGCTCAACCTGGCCCACAACATCCTGAGAAAGATGCCGCCCAAGGTCCCCACCGCCATTCACCAGCTCTACCTGGACAGCAACAAGATTGAGACCATCCCTAATGGTTATTTCAAGAGCTTTCCCAATCTTGCCTTCATTCGACTCAACTACAATAAGCTGACGGACAGGGGACTCCCCAAGAACTCCTTTAACATCTCCAACCTGCTCGTGCTCCACCTGTCACACAACAGGATCAGCAGTATGCCCGCCATCAACAACAGGCTGGAACACCTGTACCTCAACAACAACAGCATCGAGAGTGAGTGGGCTGGGCCGGGGCAGGGCCGCAGGCAGGGAGGTTGGCTCGTGTAGCGCCTCCACCCTCTCTAGGAAGCCTCAGGGTGGGGTGGTATCCAAAGCATCCACTTTGGCACTGGATTTCTATTTATGGCCTTGCCACTTGCTATCTAGGTGACCTTGAAAAGGTATTTGACCTCTCTGGGAAGTTTCCTCATCTGTAAAATGAGAATGGTAATAATAATCTCTCACAAAGGTGACACAAAGATGTAATAGAGACGTAATATGCGGAAAGTACCCAGAATGCCATATTGGAGGGTCATAGGTTTTCTTCCTTCATTCTGCCTCAGCCCCAGTTCCTTGGCAACTGGATCTATAGGTAGGGTAGTCATGGAATATACTCCTAGACTTTCTGCTAAAAACAGAACAGAGACATTTAAATAAGTATCTTGAAATGTCTTGGGCCTGCCCTCTGCAGAAACCCTGCCCCTGTGGGGGGACACTTCTTCCCAAGCCTGAGCCTCGGTTTCAATTCAGGGTGTGCAACTGGTAAAAATGTGGCAGCCAGGAAGAAAAGGTCTGTATGCCAGTGCTTTCTCAATCTATCTGGAAGGTTGCAGTGTTGAACTAGATTTAAGGGAGAGTTTGCCTAAGTGACATTTACAGGGTTCTGGACTTGTACTATCAGCTACAGCCCAGGAGAGGAGATTGGAAGTTGCAGTTTTGCTTCAATCAAAAATTTCAGCTCTGAGCAGGGCGTCAGCTGAAAGATTTAGAGGTGAAATAACATTTTCTGGTTCTTGAGCCAAATCAGCCTACATTCACACAAGGGATGCAGCAGCAGAAGGGAGGAAAGGGATTGAGGGAAAAGAGCAGGACCCCTAGAATGATATTTGGGGATCCTTCAGTTTCCAAGCCAAATAATGAGAGAGAGATTGTTGGTCTCTGCAGTCTTGAAACAAATGGATGGGAAATGGATCCATTCACTCATTTGGGACAGTTTCAAGAAGTAGGGGAGATTTTTTTTTAATCTTAGAAAAAAAGTCTGGGAAAGGGGGAAGACTGTCTAATTTTACTCTGGAGACAGCACATGAAAATAAAACACATTACTTCCAGGAAGCTATAAGGCCAAAATGTAGACAGAAAAGGTACCTTGATTAATAAATGGCTGATAAGTCTCTACCAGATTATGGAAGAACAGGTTGCTGGGGGATATCCCAGCCTGCTGAGGTTGAAGTCAGACTCACACCTCACCCACATGAGCCCACCCCCATCTAGCCTGTCTCCTGTGCCTTTCACAGACAGAACGGGCTCAGTGGGACCTAGGTCAGTGTGACGATCATGTTCTTAAACAGCTTGCAGAATGCTTTTGCCAACATTCTCTCCCCTGATTACAGGGCAGGCACCACTCTTACCATTTCACAGATTGAAGAGCTCAGCATCCGGGTGGCTAGGTAATGGCCCAAAGTCACAAAGCTCATAAGAGAAAACCCCTGTGTCAGGGCCCTTCTGCGAATCCAATGACAAAGGAGAAAGAGGAGGCAAAGGAAGAGGAAGACAACCGAAATGAAGATGATGCCTACTCTTCCTTCTCCTCCTCCATAAATGATAAGTGAGGCAAGGCTTAGGGATAATAAAACAGTTCATTTAAACGCTGGTATGCCTGGTGCCACGGGCAGCTAACAAGAGGTGATGGAGGAAATGGAATCTCAGGCCATGGACCCTTCAGAATCAGCAGGCTCATCATGTCCCTGGGGCTCTGGAGCTCTCCCCAGACCATCTTTCCCCTTCTCACCATCCCTATTTCAGTTACCACCTTTCGCCCATCCTCATGCCTCACATCCGATTCAAAGGAAAACCTGCAGAGTAATTTTCACATCCACGTGCTGGCTTCAGATCTCACCTTACTCCATTGCTTCTTCACACTGTAGCCAGATTCATCATTGTACAGCATAAACCTGATCATAGGGATCCCAAGGACCCTTCCAGATTTAACACTGCAGGAGACCATAGTTTAAGTATCCTCTTAATAACATCGCTCACATAAAGATAGCCCTGTTCACTGCCATTCCTCAGACCGGAGATCAAAAGCCTCTTAGCGAAATACTGTTTGAAAGCCTAACTACCTCCCAGCTTATCCTCCTTAGTACACCGCACTGTTACTATTCCCAGGTTCAGCCATATGCAGAATTTTGGCCTCCACAACTTCATTCAAACAGGCTCCTTTATCAGAACACCATCCCCCAGATCTCCACCTGTTGTAATCCTACCGATTCTTGAAGGCCCATCTCAAAATTTACTTCCAATTCTCTAGAGTAAACTTGCAAGAACAGTTGTTGATCAATTCCAACTTGATTCATTTTACAAATGAGTAAACTGAGCCTGGGGGTCAAGGCAGCTCATCTATGATCACACATTCCCAAAGCCAGCCAGTTTCAGAGAGAAGTCTGCAGTCCTGGCTGTCGGGTGTCCTCTCCCTTCCCCTTCCTCATCTTGGCCGCCAGCCTCGGTCTGTCCTTTTCCCTCCACCTCCATTCCCTGCTGACTTCTCTTCTTTCTCCGTAGAAATCAACGGAACCCAGATTTGCCCCAACGACCTAGTCGCGTTCCATGACTTCTCCTCGGACCTGGAGAACGTGCCACACCTGCGCTACCTGCGGCTGGATGGGAACTACCTGAAGCCGCCCATCCCGCTGGACCTCATGATGTGCTTCCGCCTCCTGCAGTCTGTGGTCATCTAGGCCCTGCTCCGCCACGGATCCGCTCCGACCGCACTTGAAGGCTGGGGCCCAGGCGCCTGTGCCCATCATTCGTTTTCTCTCTCTCCCTTTCTTGCTCCCAGCTTTGCCTCCCTTATCCCACCCTTGAGGCAGGGAAAAGCCATCCATTCTGCTGCAGCCTCAGGAGCGAGACTTCCAAGGGCTCGGTTTGGTCCCACCCAGTTGAAAGACACCCAGTGCGCACCCAAACTCCTGGCCTTCTGTGGTTTCCCTTTGCCCCAGAAACACAGATGTGTCTAAAGACTTGGTGTCCCCTCTCTCTCCTCCCCCACCCGGCACTCCTGGGGACATCTGGGCCACAGACTGACTGACATCTGATCTTGGTCCTGGCCCAGCAAGGGGCCTGGAGGTAAGGTTCAGAAAGTCCCCCCGGGGACTCCTCCATCTTGGGCAGCTCTGGCTCAAAGAGGCCGAGAAACCCAGTTCTCCTCGGCCTCGGATCTCTCCTGGCAAAGCTGCTGCTCCGCCGCGCGGCTCCCCGGCACCAGACCTCGCCCTGGCCCTGCTGGCCCAGGTCTCCGGGAAGGAGGAGTGAGGGAATGGCGGAGGGGGCTGCAGGGTCAGGGCTCCCGCAGGGGCCTGCATCTGGCCAGCTGGCCGCAGGGATGCGCGGGGGGACCCTCCCGCTCCGGGGTGAACAGAGCTCACGCCCTCCTGGCTGGGCCTCGGGAGGAACAGCCAAGGAGAAGAATGGCCCAAGGAACTAGGAAGCAGCCGCGGGATGGGGGCGGTTCGAGCCTGGGATGGGCCCCCGTGGCGTCCGCGGGTCCTGCGGCCCCCTTGCCCAACCTCGGGTTCGGGAGCAGCGTTCACAGCGTTTGTGTGGGGGCGGGGAGGGAAGAGGCAGCAGCCCCGCCCCCGCCATCTGTTCTCCATCAGTGAGCGCGGCCCGGCCACTTCCACCCCCGGGAGGCGGCTCCTGAGAAACAGAGGAAGGCGCGGAGCATCTGGACATCTCCACGGAGCCCCTCCGCGTTTGAAAACGCGCCTCCGCCTCGGAGACAGACGCGTCGGTGCCACCTAGTGGCTGGTGGGGGTAACGGCTGGCCCGAGTCTTCCGCCCGGCCCCTCCCTGGGGTGGTTGTCCTCGGTGGAGGAGCCCCGTGGGATCCCAGCGTGGAAGAGCCATGGGCCGTGTGCATGGTGTCGCTCGTCTCTAGGGTCTAGAGGGCACAATGGTCCCCAGGCTGGGGCTCATTCCCATCGTGAGTGAGCCCGGGTGGCTCCCGTTTGTTGTACGCCCTTTCCGGGTGGTGCCTTCTCAGTTCCCGCATCTGTAAACCGAGGAGGTGGGTAAGATGCTCCTGGCTGGGCGCGGTGGCTCACGCCTGTAATCCCAGCATTTTGGGAGGCCGAGGCGGGCAGATTATTGCCTGAACTAAGGAGTTCGAAACCACCCTGACCAATATGGTGAAACCCCGTCTCTACTAAGATACAAAAAAATTAGCCAAGTGTAGTGGCGCAGGCCTGTAATCCCAGCTACTGGGAGGCTGAGGCAGGAGAATCCCTTGAGCCTGGGAGGTGGAGGTTGCAGTGAGCCGAGATCATGCCACGGCACTCCAGATTGGGCAACAGAGTGAGACTCTATCTCAAAAAAAGAAAAAAAAAAAAAAAAAAAAAAAAGATGCTCTTCTGAGGTCCCTCCAACGCTCATGCTCCGAATCTGCGGCTCCACACTAAATCATTCTCGAATACAGGACAAGTCCTAAATATTTGCCCCTTTCCTTGCAGTAATTTATTTTCTATATGCACTGTCCCTCCCCCAGAGGCTTCCCCACCCTCCATCCCTGGCCTGGGTGAGCAGCTTGGCAGGTCTCCAAGTGAAACCCGGCCCAGACAAGGCTGCCTCGACTTCACCTTTCCCCTAACTTCCTCCAAGGGATGATGCCCCTTCTTAGCCCTCTGCATGTGTATGTTGGTGGGAGGCGTAGGGGATGGATGTCCTAGAAATGGGTAAGACACAGTGCCCTCCCCCAAGTTAGGCTGCAGAAAGTTCCAGAGGTTTTTAAGAAATTGGGCCTTGAAGTTAGCTGGGTCCCTAACTTCAAGAAATCCCCGTTACGCTCCTTCTCACTTTTCTCTTTGGCTAATTATGGAAAATAGGGCCCATTTCATCATAGCCTCCTTCTTCTGTACTCCGCTACAATCGCCGTGTTCATCCTAGCTGCAGCTGGTTTCTCCGAGGCTCCTGTTTAAAGCCGACATATTATTATGGCTGAAAGCCACTTGGGCCTGGATAAGCCCTTCTGCATCTTATTCACAACCTCAAGGTTGATGAGGCCCTCGGGGAAGAGGTCATTCCCTTGATCCTGCAAACCCAGACTCGTTTAGCAGCAAGGAAATCTCCATCATCCCATTGCCCAATCTAGAATATGTCTGCTTTCTCCACCGCTCTCTGCAGCTGTAAGCCAGAGGGAATTCAAGGTAAATTGGCTTTACAGGCTCCCCTCCCCCAAACACACACACCATGTGCTGGTTTTTGTGTTTAAAAAAGCCCCCTTCTCGATGCACAAGTTCATTCCCTCCTGTTTTCATCGACATATACAGGTGTGTATGTGTACTCTGCATGTGTATCTCTTCTCTCTTGAAGACCGTGGTAACTTTGTGAAATAACTTCCACATTTCAACACGCTTCACAGTAGAGGAAATAAAGTAATATGAAAAACACCCTGCTTGAACTTGACAATGTGAGCAGGTCAAGAATAACATTTTGAAGCCATCTTGCCGGCCGGGCACAGTGGCTCTTGTCTATAATCCCAGCAGTTTGGGAGGCCGAGATGGGAGGATCGCCTGAGGTCAGGAATTCAAGACCAGCCTGGCAACGTGGTGAAGCCCCTTCTCTACTAAACATACAAAAAATTGGCTGGATGTTGTGGCACATGCCTGTAATCGCAGCTGCTTGGAAGGCTAGGCAGGAGAGTTGCTTGAACCTGGGGGGCAGCGGTTGCAGTAAACAGATCGTGACACTGCACTCTAGCCTGGGCGACAGAAGGGGACTTCATCTAAAAATAAAATAAAATAAAATAAAGTCATCTTGCTACCCACCCCCTACCATTGAGCCACATTCCCAGCCCCAGAGCCTCTTTCTTGCTCTAACAAGATGAGTGGAGAAAAGATGATTCCTCAAGAAATTCCTAGGAAAGCTATTCTAAAGCCTCTTCTCTCTTCCTTCTCCTCCTCCTCCTCCTCTTCTTCTACTTCTTCTTCTTCTTCCTCTTCCTTCTTTTAATAGTGGCAGGGTCTCATTATGTTGCCCAGGCTGTTCTAGAACCCTTGGCCTCAAGCAATCCTCCCACCTTGGCCTCCCAAAGTGCTGGGACTACAAGTGTGAGCCACTGTGCCCAGCCTCAAAGCCTTTCCTTGAAGAATTTCTCCCAAACTCACAGCCCTCATGAAAAATCAATCCTCAATTCCACAAGACTGCCCACACACAGACAAATACATATATATATATATATATATATATATATATATATATATATATATAAATTCTTAAAGTCAGACCAGAAATCTGACAGCTGCATTTGAAACCCAGAGCATCAGGTTCTTTCAACCTGCACATACTAAATTGTTGAGGGTCTCCCAGGAGCTCGGTGTAGAGGCAGACACAGAAAGACACAAAATGGTTGCCTTGCCTGCCCAAGTAAAGCTTACAGACTAGCTGGGGAGATGCAGGTGCACACAAAACGGTGAAAGAGCTGCCTCGAGGGCAGAGAGCATAGAGCCAGTCATCTGGAATGGTCTGAAGGCCATGCGGAAGCCCACAGAAGGGTTAGAACAGGGTGTCCCAGAATCTCTCTTCAAAGGGAAGCAGGGTTGCAGAAGTGGGGTTCATGACCCTCCCAGGCTACCCATCTTCTTTAGAGTGAGAACTGCCAGGTGACGCCCTCACTGCTCCTGCCTGCCTACTAGACATCTACTTCAGTTCATTTCACGGATGTTCAGTGGACACCGGCCACATGCCAGGTCCCCAGCTAAGAATTCAAGGATGGGTAATCTACACAGCATACCTTTGAGTAAGGGGAAAGAAATCCATGAATGGATACCACTATGTGCTAAGTGTTTGTAAAAATACTGTGTATGAGCAACACAGAGGAGAGGGCTTCTACCTCTGTCTATGGAAAACCAGACACGTTCCTACCATGTGAGCTGGCCCTTAAGAGATAAATTAGATTTGGTCAGGTGGAAGAAAGAAAAAAAGACGCAGGTGGGTACGGTGGCTCACACCTGTAATCCCAGTGCTTTGGGAGACCAAGGTGGGTGGATCACAAAGTCAGGAGTTCGAGACCAGCCTGGTCAACATAATAAAACCCCGTCTCTACTAAAAATACAAAAATTAGCGGGGTGTGGTGGTAGGTGCCTGCAATCCCAGCTACTTGGGAGGCTGAGGCATTAGAATCCTTTGAACTGGTGAGGTGGAGGAGGTTGCAATGAGCTGAGATTGCATCATTGCACTCCAGCCTGGGTGACAGGGTGAGACTCTGTCTCACAAAATAAATAAATAAATAAAAAGACACAACCAAGATGGGAAACAGCATGAGTAAAAAGGTAGGAAGGTGTGGAGTCTACCCTGTGGGGCTTGTGTGTCTGAAACAGAGGAGAGGGTCGTGTTCTGGTCATGGAGTTAAGTCGCTGCAAGCCCTCAGCAGGGGATATACCCCTGTCCTCCAAAACGCAGGAGGGTTTGAACTTCCCCACCTCTCTCTCCCTGTCCATGAAAAGGGCAACCACAGGGTTGGCTGGCCAGACTTCTGTCCATACCACCTGCCACCTCCGATTCATCAACATGCCTTGTGCCTTTCCTAATGAGCGATTAGGATTAAGAAGCCTCCCACGCCTCCTGCTTCCTTTGCCAGGCTCTCGGGGAGCTGGGCTGCCTGGAACAACAGTGTGGGTTAGCTGTTTACCCTGCAGGTCACCTGTATGCATCTGTGAACAGCCCCTTATATTCATGAGAACAAGAGTGAGTGACCTGCGAGCTTGGGAGAGCAGAGTAGAAGTTTGGGAGAGGGTCTTGGATGTGAGCCTGTGTCCGGATGTGGCTCCCGGCAGGAGCAGAGGGAGCAGGTGTGTATGCATTGGGAGGAACAATGGTGGGGTGCAGCAACCAAGAGGGGATGGCAGGACCGTGTGTGTCACTGGGAAAGCAGGGAGGGAGAGTGGGAGCAGGTGGCAGGGAGAGTCCATGAACACTTGCATTTCCATTTCTCCCAGGAATAAATGTATGGGGTGGGAGGGGGAGA